TGTGGTGTGGTGGTCTGGGTGGTATGGTGCCTGCTGTGTGGTTAGAGCGTGGTGGTGGTGGTAGTTATTTGGTTGTCTGGTTGTTATTCCATGAGCCATCTAACCTTATATTGAACTATACTCTATTACTATGACTATATATAACATAACTATATATAGTTATAACCATATCTAACTATATGTATATATATAAATTGGTAATACTGCGATAATGATTAGTCAATGTTTCTCAATTGAATATTTAAGGTAAAAGAACCTTTGTAAAAACTTTTTTTAGACTTTGCTCTAACGAAGTTTTCATTAGTTAGCATGTCGCAGAATATCGTTCATATTTTATTTTGCGTGACACAATTAGCAAGAACTAATCTCATGTATATTCCGCGACAGTACTTGTGCCACATTCTGTCCCACAATTGTGTGTCCTGAGACACACAATTGTGTGTCCTGAGACACACAATTGTGTGTCCTGAGGACACACAATTGTGTGTCCTCAGGACACACTCGCCACAATGTCTCACTCTGAACGATGAACTTTGTTCACTATTAGCCGTGTAAATTTTAGCTCGCGGGCACACCGAGAGCCACATCTATAGCGTATATAGCCGCCTTATAATAACATTTATGTCCGACCTTAAGCAGCACGAGGCGCTTTTTACTGCTGGGATCTATCAGGCTTGCAGTGTTTTATGCACCATCAGTCCATCTCTATGTTTATGTAACAATATTTCCGGCAATATTGGAAATATATCTCTATGTGAGAATAATGTATATACATCTCTATGGAAATACCTATATATTTATGGAAAATATAGCTTTTATGAAATATATCTCTATCACTTTAAGGAAATATATATTTATTAATCTAAATCATTATGTAAGAATATTTGTATATTTAGGGTAGAGCCCTTCATTTATACATGTTTGGTTAAAAGTAACCAAGTAAAACAATATTCATGTACCGATATTTATGTAACAATATCAGTCTATAATCTATCAGTCTAGCAGTGCTGTTTATTATGCACCTAAAATACGGCCCACTGTCTGCTGGGATCTGGCGTCAAAAACCGCCCAGTGTGAAAGATTACATTGAATATTGCAAGCTAAACTGTCGCGGCAAATCTACCGCCGCAGTTTTAGCGCGACACACGCTGGCGTCAGGCGTCAAGTTCTACGCCGCAGTAAAAGCAGTCGTGTGTGAACAGCAGTGCACATTTCGTATGTCCGCTAAGGTTCGGCGGTACACTGTTAGAAAAATTACCGTTAACGGTATTACCGGCGTTTCAGTGGCCGGTCGGCACGTAAAAAGAAACACAGTGTCGCCGTTTTTATTCTAATTTAACACTAGAAATCCGTAGAATATCTGATATAAACGGCGAAACAGTTTAATTTCACGGAACGACCGGCCACTAGAACGCCAGTGGGACCGTTTTTTCGCCGTTTTTTCTAACAGTGTAAATACTGTCGGACGCTGGCAGTATTTACTGCCCTGTGTGAAAGGGGCTTTAGTTGGGCGGTAGCGACGTAGTGAAAGGTCAGGTCTGAGTGGCTGTGAGTCAGGTAGTCAGTCGTGTCCCGCCAGCCTTACAGTGAGGTTCTAGCCTCAACTCACCTCGCTCCGTTGCTCCACTAGAGTTCTTGTGCCCTAGCGCTAGTTACTGTGGCTGTGCTATAAATGTTTCGTCTAGCAGCGTTATGTCTCTCGTGCTTGCTGTAATATTTTATTCAACGTGTTGCTTCTAAGTTTTCTTGACTGGAATAAAAGGCAAGTTTTACTCGTGTAACCGAAGTTTTAATGAACGGAATCCTAGTGCAATAAAGTGCAATCAAACTTTTTACAAGATAGTTACGATAATTTGATGAAACACGTCGCGCTATTACCTTAGTTATATACTGTATATATAATAATTATCCTTATATAATATGTATATAATAACAATTATCCTTGTATAATATATATAATAACTATCTTTTTATAATATATAGATACACATATATAACCATCTTACCACAACCACGGTGTTGCAGCGGCGGCGGCCACGGCCCCCGATGGCGGGAGTTTGTTCAGCGGGTGGAGCAGCGTGGTGGTGGTGGCGGTGGTGGTGGCGGTGGCGGTGGTGTTGCTGCTGCTCGGGGTTGCATTGTTCGCCCTCATCTACTGCAGGAGAAAGCAACCCCACCAGGTTGACCCCAACCCCAGGCATACGGGGTGAGTTACAACCCCTCCAGGTTGACCCCAACCCCAGGCATACGGGGTGAGTTACAACCCCGCCAGGTTGACCCCAACCCCAGGCACACGGGGTGAGTTGCAACCCCGCCAGGTTGACCCCAACCCCAGGCACACGGGGTGAGTTGCAACCCCGCCAGGTTGACCCAAACCCCAGGCAACCATTCCCATTAATTTTGTAAATGACAGGAAACTGTCGTTTACAAATCCACTTGCCTTTAACTATTCACGTGTAGGATTTTTAAATGTTTTATCTGCTAAAGCATTGTTATCGTTCACGAAATGTACGAGACCGCACGCGTCACGTTATCGTATCATACACACGACAGAGGACCTGGGGCCTGTACTTTCAAAACTCGCTAAGTGAACGTAAGTACTTACGCTCTATTTTCAAAACTCGCAGTAGTGAAATATAGGTTCTAAATTATAGGTTCTGGTAACATTCAGTTAGCTAGTAGCGGCTCCGGCCGGTGACAATAGTGACTGTTGCAACCACACAACCATTACTAGTTAAAACCATTACATTACATCAACCACGGGCTGAATGGTTGCGTCCTGAGCAGCACCAGCAAGTCTGCCACCAAGGTTGAGGTGTCGCAGCCACCAGACCTCTGGATCCACCACGACCGCCTCGAGCTCAACCATCTCGACAACCACAACGCCTCCCGCCCCGCCAGCCCTACCATCACAACCACGGTGCTCAACCACGGCGGTGAGTCTCAACCACGGCGGTGAGTCTCACAACCACGGCGGTGAGTCTCACAACCACGGTGGTGAGTCTCAACCACGGCAGTGAGTCTCAACCACGGCGGTGAGTCTCAACCACGGCGGTGAGTCTCAACCACGGCGGTGAGTCTCACAACCACGGCGGTGAGTCTCAACCATGGCGGTGAGTCTCACAACCACGGCGGTAAGTCTCAACCACGGCGGTGAGTCTCACAACCACGGCGGTAAGTCTCAACCACGGCGGTGAGTCTCACAACCACGGCGGTAAGTCTCAACCATTGATGCTTATAGAAGCTGTAATAATTTTCCTGTACATGTACACTTCAACCTGTCGCCATGTTTGGCTTTCCTCTCGGGGTTGGGAGGGATGTGGGGTTGACTTTCCCTCCCTTCCCCATCATTCCTAACCCCTCCCCAACCCCTAACAACTCCTCCACCCCCTAACCCCTCCTACAACCCCTAACCACACCCCCAACCTCCCCTAGCCCCCCCCTAACCCCTCTCTCCCCCACAGAGGGCGGGGAGCTGGAGGACAAGAACACCTACACCAGCACCAGCACCCTGGACCGCCGCACGCCCTACCACAGCACCTACCTCAGTGAGTGCCGTGGTCCTACTAGTGCACGGTGTGGTTGTACTAGTGTACCTATGTGTCCTGGTTGTGTGGTTGTGTGTGACAACATCACGGTAAGTTCCACCGCACGTTGTGTTTCAACCCATTGATTTAAACTATCTGTTTCAACCCATCGATCCAACTCAATAACTTCAAACCAGTTTTGCAACCCATTGATTGAACCCACTAAGTTCAACCCACTGCTTTAACCCACTGATTTAAACCAACTGTTTCAACCCACTGAGTCAGCCCACTGATTTAGAGAGGGCTGGGGTGAGAGGGTGAGATTTCCAATAAAATTTCAATCCAATTTTCTGTTTCGTTTTTCAATATTTTACGTTTGCACTTCATTTTGCTTCGAAACTTTATCTCTTATTAAGTTTATTTCTAAAACTTTTAATTTATTTCATTTTCTCCTCCTCTTCCCTTCCTTGCACGGGACTAACCATACATGGAAGTGTAGTCGCCGCCAGCCTGCCTAGTCTCACTAGTCACTCATCTAGTCTCCGCCGGGGCAGTAACGCGCCAGTCACTAGTCAGCGACTTACCTCCGCGTCAGTCACAAGTCACCGCAACGACTTGAACTTTTCCTTTGCGTCGCTAAATTTCGGTTTCGCGGACGAAAATTTGCAGCTTCCGGTAACGCTTGGACCGGAAATAGTGGGTGTGGGTGACTTCACACGTCCGGGGGACGAGGGTTCAGTGCCCCCGTCCCCCGTCGTTCCCACGGGACAACCCTCACAACACCCGCCTGCTGTGGGCCCCGCGTCTGTGAACCCGCGACGTCCTTTAGCGAACAAGTCGTCAAACTCAGCGTTCGTTGCGGTGGATGAAGAAGATTCATCCAGTCTCATGTCATCCTGTAGTTTCATCCCACCTCCCAGTTACAACCCACCACCCGGTCATATCTCCCCACCCGGTTTCTTCCCACTCCGCAGTCACATCCCACTCGTCAGTCATCAATCCTCTAGTCATATTTCTCCACTTAGTTTCTTCCCACCACCCAGTCACATTCCAATCCCCAGTCACATCCCATTCCCCAGTCATATCTCCCCACCCAGTTCCCCACCATGTCATCCCCCATCTCCCAGTCCCACACAACAAAGGAATCTGTATGAACAGCACAGCCCCCATATGGATGACAGTTCTCAACCGCGGGATGAAGTATGGAAACAAGACCTGCGTGATAAATGTTATTTCGATTTCAGCGATGAAGCCATAGCGAATATTTTAGGTTCTGCTCAAAGTTCTGTCGTAAGCGACAACGCGTTACTCGATCTGGACCGAAGAACTGATGGAATGTGGCCCGATCCGGATTACAGAACCGATGAAATGTGCCCCAGACTTTCAGAACTTGCAGGTGACACTAGTGGGTTATATCATCAGACAAGAGGTCATACCAATGGAAATATTGAGAAATTGTCCTTTGATGGTATGGGAGAACATCTCAATGTGATGTCTAGTGAAAGGTTGTGTCCCATGTCCATGAAAAAGTCCCGGCATGAAAACCTGACACTGGCGCCCCCTCATCTGTCGTCCGCAGGCGTGGCACTCACGCCTAATATTCCTGCGGACTCGGACATTACCTGCCCGAAACCTGACGCTTGCGTTCTAGTACAGGAAGTCGAAAAGCAGGTGGTCGGAGGGCCTTCCCGTCTCCAAAACTTCGGAGTTCCCAGCACGGAAGCTTCGCGTTCACCACCGAAACCCAGAGATTCTCTGTATAATTCAGATTCATATTCCAATGTTGTCTTTGTTGAGCCGCTGTGGATCCGACGTCGCTGCAAGGGCCCCCACAGGGAGTTCAGGAGGAGCCTTGGGGCAGCACTGCATTTGGATTGCGATGGCTGCTCCGGGGCCAATGAAAAGACCTGCAGTAGCGAAATATTGGCTTTTAAAAACTTAAATTTCGAGTCCAGAAATCGACGTTACAGTGTCTCCATCCTGGTCAACACCAACGACCCTGAACTGAGTCAGCTACCGCGGGACTCAACTCTGGACCGCTTCGACAGAACCAATCCCCACCTCTCCTCCTTCCGGTCCTTTGAGGACGTCTTGGGGAAGAAGAGTCTGCTGGATCTCCCCAAGTGTGAGCGCGAACTGGATGCGCTGGCTCTCCATAACATCAGTTTGGTTACGAAACTTCAAAGACCAACGAGCGCAGGACGATTTTTTTGATAGTTTTCAACGTTTTGGTGCCAACCTGCGACTTTTTAGGTCTAAGCATTCGTCCTAGGGAGACTTCATCATGCAAACGCTTGTAAATTAATCTTTAAATTTCTTGAACGAAGGCACTAGTCAAATTATTTATAAAGTTGAACAACGTAGACTTAAGTCAAAACAGGAGCTTCAGTTTTTCCCTGGACTGCAGCCAGCTTTTGTCCACTCACAAAAGAAGGCCCAGAAGAGTTGGTATTTCACCAACTGGATAATGAATGACGAAAAATAGATCATTGGAAAATAGAATAATGAAAAATAAGTCGTTTGACGAAAAAAACTTGCTGAACTTCACCATGTCAATAATAACTAAAGTCAAGGAATGATTCAGCGTCGCGTGTGTCATGAGGTCTCTTTGTAATTATTACTTAATTTAAGGAAAATTAGGAATACTAAGTATGAAAATTCATACTATGTATAAACATTCATACAAGGTATGAATTTTGTATGCTGTAGTGACAGCGGAAGTTGAAGCGTCGTTAAGTGGCCGTTATTGTTATTTTCACAGCGGAACTATCATTTAATTAAATAATCTTAATCTTCATTTTTATACCATTTTTAGTGTAGAAAATTTGTGTCGATCGAATGAATAAAATACGTTTCTTTATACAAAGGAATTTATTAGACCTACAACAACTTTGATTATAGTAATTAACTTTACACGAAAAAATTCACAAGACGCACGACAACTTTGATTATAACAACGCATTTAAAAACTTGAACTTGAATCACAAACTTAGACTTGTACTGAAACTTTGTACTGAAGTTCGGGACTTTAATGACGGTACAAGGACATCTTGCATGCTCGGGCGGGACTAACTTGATCTTCGGGACGACTTCTCACGGAAAAATTCTGATTCGGCAGCAAATTACTCGTATAAAAACGAACCGGAAATTTAAACAAAAATATATGTTTGGAATTTCTAGATTTTCCTTTTATTTTTTAATTTTTTCCTCTCTTTTACTCAATGTTCTGTGCATTAAAATCAAATTAACTGTTATGTTTTTCATGTTAAATCTGCTGTAACGTTGTTGTTTATAAAGCCTTCTAATGTTTCTAAGTCATTGCTGCCTCTGCTTTTAATTCAATTTTGATTAAAAATCTACTTTGTTTCATTTTATTTATTCCTGTGTGCTTGTGCTGTTAAATAAACTTTTATTGTGTCGGGGTTTTGAATGTTTTTTTTATCTTATTCACTAAGTAATATTAACTAATATTCAGAACAGTAATTCTAACGCATTAGTTTGCTAGAAAAACGTTATATCCTGATTTAAATATAAAATTAGCATTAAATACATATATCCTGATTGCCGGTAAAACGGACTAATAATATTAGGTTCAATAAATAATATTTCAATTATAAAGATGATATACCTAATAAAAATCGAATATAATAAAATAAGATATAATAATAGAATAAAAATAATAAAATAAATAAAAATGAATGATAATTTCAATGAAACTTCTGAGTGAAATTTCGGGGGATAAGTTAGGTGGGGAGGCCGCAAAATGAACAATTATAAATAATAGTAAAACTGATAAAACGAAATAAAAATTATTAGTAATCCAATAATATGGAAATTTGGCAACAATCTTGACTTATTTTGTGGTAAGTTCAAGAATTCAAATTAATAAAACACTTCATCTATTACGCATGCCCCGCACAGTGCAAGGCATTTTTTTCTAATTGATTGAGCATTTGATAATTAAATAAAATTAATGTTAAGACTTGCATCGTTTATAGAATAATTTTATTAATTAATTAAATTGATAAATTGATTGAGCATTTGATAATTAAATAAAATTAATGTTAAGACTTGCATCGTTTATAGAATAATTTTATTAATTAATTAAATTGATAAATTGATTGAGCATTTGATAAATAAATAAAATGCAGGAATAAATGCACCAGAAGCAGAAGTTTCTTCCTTGAATTTGATATATTCTGTTTTGTTGATGGGCCCATATTGATAATTTTATATAAGTTCTTGGCTATAAGTTATCTCTTCATCTCAATGTTTTCTTGTTGTTTTCTTGTCTTCATCTCATCATCAATGTTTTCTTGTTTTCTTCATCTCAATATTGAGTCTTGTTTTCTCATTTGTTGACTTTTAGTTAATTAGAATATAATTTAGCTAATTACAATGTAATTTCATATCAGAACTTTATTTACTTTAGAGTTTAACATCACTTCCGTTGACTCGTTTCAATTAAAATTGATTTTGACGACATTTACTGACAAATAGAAAGATGAATTAAGTATTTAATGCCTTAATTTTATATTACTAACTGAGACATATTGAGTTATGAGACATATTGAGTTATGAGACATTATATTGAGTTATGTGACATTATATTGAGTTATGAGACATTATATCTGTCTCTTATACACATCTAGATGTGTATAAGAGACAGACATTATGTTGAGTTATGAGACATTATATTGAGTTATGAGACATTACATTGAGTTAATGAGACATTACATTGAGTTAATGAGACATTACATTGAGTTATGAGACATTATATTGAGTTATGAGACATTATGTTGAGTTATGAGACATTATGTTGAGTTAATGAGACATTACCCCGTATATTGTGTTGTGGTGTAGGGGAGGCTGGGGATGAGACGGAGCGCTTGCTGCACCGCCCTCCCCTCCACCCCCCGGGGGCGCTACAGCCCCCCCACTACTGTGAGTTGCTCTATGTTTTTATTTGCTTTCCTAATTATTTATATTATTTTTTTATAATTTACATTCTACATTATTATTATTTATATATTATATTTATTTTTTAATTTAAATGCTAAATTATAAATTAAGTACCTATAAAAATCAATAAAAAACAGGTATCAAAAATAGTTATATTTCTTATTTAAAATAATTATAATTATTTTAATAATAATTAATAATTATAAAATTATTAATTATAACTAGTTTCTGAAGGGACTAGGGTGCAATCAGTGGTCAACCTCACCCCGTTTAGCCTTTAAAGTGAACGTATCTGTGATACGTGAAGATAATGTGAATTATCTTCAAAAATCAAAGAATTGGTCAATTAACTAATAATAATAATAAAAATAATAACTATAAAAATTGAATAATAAATTAAAGAATATTAATAATTATTAATGATAATTAATAAAAATTGTCAATTAAATAATAATTAATAAAATAATAATAGAAATGGAGAATAAATTAAAGAATAATAATAATATTATTAAGGTTAATTAATAAAAATTGTGAATTAACTAATAACTCCCCCCCCGCAGTGATGGGGGGCAGCACCAGCAGCAGCGTGTACAGCGACGGCACCATGGGGGGCAGACCCCCCCACACCCCCCACGCCCCCTACACCCTCGACCCCTACGCCACCCCGGGGTGAGTCATCTCACGTCACCCCAACCCTATAGCCCCAACCCTATAACCCCAACCCCTTACAAGTTCATTGTAAATGAAAATTTAACTGATTAGATTAAAACGATTCAATTGCTTTTTAAAATTCGTTAATGAGTTAAAAAGCTAAAAAATATAACTCAGTGCTCACTGCAGTTAGTGACAGAGAGCGCATTTTCTCGTCGACGAAAACGTGAAGTCACGGACAGACAGACGGGCAGACGGACGGACGGACGGACGGACAGACAGACAGACGGACGGACGGACGGACATGGCGAGCACAATAGTGCATTTTTTCCATAAATGAGAAAATGCGCTAAAAAAGAGTTAATTTTGCCGGTCAAGATATCGACAGTTTAAATGTTTATAAAATTCAATATAATTAATTCAAGCATTTAGTGTAATTCACACGCTACCGCTCAAAAGTTTTGGGTAATCCAAACAACTTTCTGTTATCCATGAAAAGTAACATTTATTCACCACCATATGTTGTCAATGAACAAAAAATAGAGTCAGGACACTTACAAGGTTAGAATAATTACTTATATTTGAAATCACATTTTATTTACATTAAAATTGCATCTAACACTCACAATTTCAGATATGGCTTTATATTTGCTATTGTGCCATGTAGGTCAAAATTCCATAGCCGCCTATTTACCGTATCACTAGTCGCGGGTATTATTCAATGAATACTAAATTTGACTTTATTATTTAATGAAGTCGCACTAAATTTATTATTAGCCCACGCGACTTTGTAGTTAAGTTAAAGACTGCCTGTCTGCTCAAAATTGTCCACTACCATAGTCGGTAATGGCGATTTTGAGTTGTAGGTCGTTGCCCTATTTTGATAATGACATTTTCTAAGGTAGTTCCACTTTGATAATGACATTTTCTAAGGTAGTTCCACTTTGATAATGACATTTTTTAAGGTAGTTCCACTTTGATAATGACATTTTTTAAGGTAGTTCCACTTTGATAATGACATTTTTTAAGGTAGTTCCACGACCATCACTACCTCACTGACCGCCACAACCATTATTGCATTACACAACACCCTGGACAAGCCAGGTACTGGTTTATCAACAAAATCTTCATGAATGGCTTAGTTAGCCATGAACTGAGCTTCCCGAAATAATTTGTCCCGCGTGGACTCGAACCCCCGAGTCACTGGGTGCTAGAGACTAGTTTATTTCGCAGTTTATTTCCTGAATAAAGTAGTACACACTATAAAGTAGTAGGAAATATTCAATTTCTAAGCAATTATTCACATGGAATAGCTTTCATTTCCGATAAAAGTAACTGACAGTCGAGTTTTGGATAAAAGTTCTCTATTTCTGGCCATTTTGAGCGTTTAATTGAACCAACAAATGTGAAACTCCAGAAACTGAATGTGTTCAAATAATTGTCAGTTTTCTAGATTTTATAAAAATTTAGTTTGTTTTCAGACGTGTGAACAAAATTACACAAGGGTTTTCTAATCATAAATCAGCTTTCTAAGCCAATGAGTAAACACATTGTACCATTAGAAAACTAGAGCTATGGTTGCTGGAAATAAACCTCTGGCAATATTGCACTAAAACCGGACATAAAGAAAATAAGAAAAAAAGAAAAAAACCATGCATAAAGAAAAGTTATTTAAAAATTTAAAAGCAAAGAATAGTCCGCAAAAAGTTATTTTCTCTGTGTATCTTCTATTTTAAAGTTATTTATATAATATCAATGTATAAAGTGTATTTGTTCAAAGTTAGGAATATTTTAAAGTTATCTTCATTGAAAAGCATCTTTTCCTTCAAAAATAAGAACATTTCGATGTGACCGCAAACTTTTGAACGGTAATGTAAATTTTTTATTTTCCATCACTTTGTTGCCTTGAACAAAACATGCGCGCTGAATTTTGTGTCGCCATACAAGGGTTAATTTTGTATGGATGTGTGGACTGAATCAGCTAGGACTACAATGAATAAGTATCCTGTTAATGAACAAATAAATAAAGATTGATCGTACATTTATTCATTTTCTAGATAGATTTATAAAATTCAGTATTTTTACACCTGTCACCAGAAGTGGTGACAGATGTATATCTATTCTTGTTATTATTGTTGTTATTATTAAAATTTTTATTAATATTATTTTTTTGCATCAAAATGTTTTGATATTTAACCTGTGTTTAGTTACCATTCTCATCTGTTTCATGATTATACTATACATAACTTACTGTTATCAGTCATATTTTAATCATAATCCAGTCATATCGCATTCATAATTCAGTCATGTTTCTCTCAAATTCACCCATGCTGTGTTCTCCGTGAGTTCTGTCTCATAATTCATCTGAATAACGCGACGTTCACTTGTTCATCCTTATTATATATTGATAATAATTTATATATTCTTATACATTAATAATCATTAACATCATTACAATGATTCCATGTTTTTAATCATTTCATCGTAAGCATTAAAAAATTGATTTGTGGAGGCCTATTAAAATACAAAGCCTGTATTGAAAATGAATAAATTCGGTCAAATTTTCTGCAAAATACTTTTTTTTAATTAATTTTTTTTGCATCGCATTTTCAAAGTTTAATTAATTTAATTTGTGTTAAAATGTTGCAAAAGATGAAATTATTAAATTATCGTAAAATATAAAAATATTATATATTATATTTTAAGGCCATTAATTACGGCCAAAGATGGATTAAGGCCATTAATTACGGCCAAAGATGGATTAAGGCCATTAATTACGGCCAAAGATGGATTAAGATTGACGTACACAAGGCAAAAAGTGCATCGCTATTTAGACAAATTATCTCTTATTTCCACTGCTACCCTAACAAAATTTGGGGACCGCCTAGGCCTCGGCCGAAGAGTCGCTACAATCGGTGCAAAGTTATTCTAGGTTTGCTTGGCCACTAGCGCCTATATTTTCAAAAAAGTTAAGAGATCGTAAGTTCATCAGCCAATCATTGACGGCCTTTCAAGCAAAATCCACCAATCATAGACAAGAAAATAGAGCGTAAGTACTTACGTTCACTTAGCGAGTTTTGAAAGATCGAAATTAGCTTCTGGTCAGAATCTCTTTTCCGACTTTATAGTCGCCCGAGAGTATGACAAGAGTTGGCCGAGCCTGGGGCCATACTTTCAAAACTCGCTAAGTGAACGTAAGTACTTACGCTCTATTTCCTTGTATATGATTGGTGGATTTTGCTTGAAAGGCTGTCAATGATTGGCTGATGAACTTACGATCTCTTAACTTTTTTTGAAAGTATAGGCCCAGGTCATACCGAGCTAGCAAGCTGCCCAGAGGCTGGCTTTCGAACCCTGAGCCGAAGCTGACATTAGCGGCTGATTTACGTTCGGTCCGAGTTCTAGGCGGCCCTATTGCAGGGTCGCGCACACCTCTAATTTTGTTAGGGTGTATAGGTTGGTTGGCCTATATAAGTTCTTGCATCTACCCTCAGCAGGACACACGAGTCGCCACATACTAAACTCGTCGCGCTTCAATACAGACTATACATTATATGTACAGAATAGAATTATATACAATCTATATCATTTCTTGCATTGTTGCTATATAACAAAGTTAATATGTGGCTATAGCTGTATTGTGGCCTCTGGATGATGGCGAGTCTAGTACAATGGCGACTTTCGTGTGGCTGGCGGTAGCCATTCCTTTATCATCAGAACCGTATTGTTTCTTCACCATTAGAAGCATATTATTTCTTCACCATACCTTCACCATCATGCTTTCTTGTTGTACCTGAACGTCTTACCATTGATCTTGTAAATATGATGATTACTACTTTCTATTTGCAAAAATGTAATACCTGCACGTTTTCTTATTGAAAGGCAGCAACCAAACTGGTTATTACCGTTAATCTTGTAAATTATTTTATTAATTCTACTTTTTATTCATGAAAATTTAACAATGAATTCTACTTTCTATTCATGAATAAGCTGTCACAATGAATTTGTATCCAGCGACGGCAACAACACGCTGGGCAAGAGCTTACGCAACGCGTCGAGTGGGGCGAGTGGGACACTCAACCCACTCAGATCTTTCAGTGTACCGGGCCCCCCGCCCCCCCAGTCCNCACGGCCTCACAGCTCTACTGATGGCCTCATGAAGGACCTGTCCGCCATCACGGCCTCACAGCTCTACTGATGGCCTCATGAAGGACCTGTCCGCCATCACGGCCTCACAGCTCTACTGATGGCCTCATGAAGGACCTGTCCGCCATCACGGCCTCACAGCTCTACTGATGGCCTCATGAAGGACCTGTCCGCCATCACGGCCTCACAGCTCTACTGATGGCCTCATGAAGGACCTGTCCGCCATCACGGCCTCACAGCTCTACTGATGGCCTCATGAAGGACCTGTCCGCCATCACGGCCTCACAGCTCTACTGATGGCCTCATGAAGGACCTGTCCGCCATCACGGCCTCACAGCTCTACTGATGGCCTCATGAAGGACCTGTCCGCCATCACGGCCTCACAGCTCTACTGATGGCCTCATGAAGGACCTGTCCGCCATCACGGCCTCACAGCTCTACTGATGGCCTCATGAAGGACCTGTCCGCCATCACGGCCTCACAGCTCTACTGATGGCCTCATGATGGACCTGTCCGCCATCACGGCCTCTCAGCTCTACTGATGGCCTCATGAAGGACCTGTCCGCCATCACGGCCTCACAGCTCTACTGATGGCCGGGCCTCCATTAGACTAATGGACAGCCGCCATACATTATATAGGCTCATGGCCTCTATTACCTGCTAATATTCTCTAATTAATTTCTTACACAAAAAAGTCAAGTTTTTTCCGGTGCTTCAAATTGAATTTTCTAAGGCGAAATTTTTTTTATTGCTATAACCACCACTCTTAACCGTCAACCGCAAAAATCATTAATAAAAATAATTAACTTGATTATGCATAAACAATTGGCATTCATCTAAACGATGTTTTTCACACCATAATTCGGTATTTAACTTCAAACTTTCAGTATTTTAACAATTTTTATCACTGTGAAATATTCACACTTAAATTTATGTATTCAAAATTAAGTAAGCAAATGAACACGACTTTCCCGATAATTTATTTGATCTCATTTATATAACTACTTTTCTTACATTTTATTTAAACTATTTGAGAAAATTTTTCGATCGTTCAATTTCATGAAACTAAAAATCTATGAATTTGATGTCGTGTGTTTAATACTGATAAAAAAAATTTTCACTCTAACTTTTTAGTAAAATTAATGGATAATTAAAAAAATGTCACAATTTTGCTACAAATTTTAGGGATCAATCTCAATGGCAGCTCGCGTCTTCCTAATTTTAATATCCATGTTCTCTCATTAACTTTAAGTTGATCATTCATGTTCATTTCATGTCGATGGTAATCAACGTTCATGTTAAGCTTCTTATTTATGTTTAATTTTAAGCTGGAATAAATGATCGACTGAGCCCGCATTCTTAGAACTGCGCGATGCGTTCGTAAGTTTTACGACGGTCGTAAGTTTTACGACTATCGTAAGTTTCACGACTATCGTAAGTTTTACGATGATCGTAAGTTTTACGACGATCGTAAGTTTTACGACGATCGTAAGTTTTACGACAATCGTAAATTTTACGACGATCGTAAGTTTTACGATGATCGTAAGTTTTACGACGGTCGTAAGTTTTACGATGATTGTAAGTTTTACGACGGTCGTAAATTTTACGATGATCGTAAGTTTTACGATGATCGTAAGTTTTACGACAGTCGTAAGTTTTACGATGATCGTAAGTTTTACGATGATCGTAAGTTTTACGACGGTCGTAAGTTTTACGACGATCTAAGCCTGTCTCTTATACACATCTAGATGTGTATAAGAGACAGGCATGGGGCCCCCCTCGTCCCCCTTCAAGAAGCTGCCGCCCCCCTCCCCCCACTGCGCCACCATGCTGGGGGCGCCCCCCGTGGGGGGGCGTCGCGTCCTGCCCCCCATCACCAGGGTCGACTCTCTTCCTGAAGAGGTTATATATAATTAAATTGATTTAATTTTTATGATAATTATAAGTTAAATTAAGGAGAGCGTCTGGGTCCAATATCGACGATGTTGACTTTTCCGGGTTTTTGTCTCATCTTAAAGCTGACGTTCTGACCTATTCAACGGTACCAAGATCATCTCTGTACGTTGATTTACGCGTTCACGACAGATCGCGGAAGGGCAAGGGTTGGTGGTGTTCTTTAACATTTAACATAGGAAGTAAATGCCTCAGTGCACCTTAAATAGCTAGTCTTCACACTCTCTGCTCCAGTCACCCTTCAGCAGTCGTGAGGGAAGGTTTGCGCTCTGTCGCTCCCACATCCTTGACAGAAATTTAGCTCCAGCTTTTGTCTCTACTGAACATTCACACTTATTGTCACTGTAAACTGTCTCCTCCTAGAGTTTTGAAGCTACAGCAATGAGAGATATACCATTCAATTCACAAATAAAAGATCCAGAGATTGGTCGTAGCTTTTTTTCAGTTTCGTTATAGTTTTTAAAATATTTCAAAAAACAGGGGGGAAAGGGGAAAATCGAAAAATTTTCTAAAATTTTACGAAAAATTATCCCAAACCCGCAAAAATTCGAATTTCAAAAAAAGCTACAACGAATCGATAGATAAGGTCCTTACGCATCGAATGATATGCGTCTCGATGTTGTAGCTTGAAAATTCCAGGAGACAGTTTTCTACAGTACCTCCGTTTTGGCCGTTTTCTAAGAATTTCACGTTTTCTTTGATTTTTTCGGAAAATTCACACGAACAAAGTCTTAGAATTATGTTTTACGTATGTGTACCAAGTTTCAAAGTGATCCGTTCGTAAATAAAAAAGTTTTTCCAGTTCCCAGACGCTCCCCTTAATTAAATTTGAAGTAATGATGTATGTATATGAACATTCGTGTACTTAAAATTATGTAGAGTGTGCAAGTTCGATTAATGACCAGGTAATTCATTGATTAATGTCCAGATTATTGATTGATTTAAAATTATTAGGAATTTAGGCAGGTTTGAGGAATCAACTTTTATTTATTAACAACGGTTCGATTCTTAGGGTAGGAAAATAGATAAATTTAGGACCATCTCTTCGTTTTTTAGTCGTAGATTACAATTATACTAATTGTAATTATTTTAATTACAATTATATTAATTAATTATTTTAATTACAATAATACTAACTAATTATTTTAATTACAATTATACAAATTAAACTAATTGTAATTACAAAATGTCCGCGGCCAGGAGGGGGCGCGCTACCCCCCCGGGGAGCTGTCCATGGGCGTGTCCACCGAGCAGCTGTCGCAGGAGATGGCCTGCCTCGAGGGCCTCATGAAGGACCTGTCCGCCATCACGGCCTCGCAGCTCTACTGATGGCCTCATGAAGGACCTGTCCGCCATCACGGCCTCACAGCTCTACTGATGGCCTCATGAAGGACCTGTCCGCCATCACGGCCTCACAGCTCTACTGATGGCCTCATGAAGGACCTGTCCGCCATCACGGCCTCACAGCTCTACTGATGGCCTCATGAAGGACCTGTCCGCCATCACGGCCTCACAGCTCTACTGATGGCCTCATGAAGGACCTGTCCGCCATCACGGCCTCACAGCTCTACTGATGGCCTCATGAAGGACCTGTCCGCCATCACGGCCTCACAGCTCTACTGATGGCCTCATGAAGNAAATGTCGGATGGTCAAGTTCCTGCAGGATCTAAATGTCGGATGGTCAAGTTCCTGCAGGATCTAAATGTCGGATGGTCAAGTTCCTGCAGGATCTAAATGTCGGATGGTCAAGTTCCTGCAGGATCTAAATGTCGGATGGTTAAGTTCTGCAGGATCTAAATGTCGGATGGTCAAGTTCCTGCAGGATCTTAACGTGGGACGCAGGAATTAAACACGACGTAACGCCACGTTTCCTGCTAACGTCAGGACTTGCCATGTATATACAAGCACAATTAAGTGTATTATTCGTTAAGTAGGTACTTTGACTATTCATATGTGTTGAATTGACTCTGAAATTGTCGCAAACATTACTATGAAGTTCATAAAATTTATCAGTCCGCACAATACCGCCAGTTGCAACAATACACAGAGGGCGCAACAGCCTGACCTAAACCACTGTCATGGTTATAGTTGTAGCCATATTATTATTATTATTATTATTATTATTATACATCATATTAAAATGCTTTATTGCACGCAAATCACATAAGGACTTTCATCATACATGAGGGCTTAGCACATGTTCACTGTCATAGACTTGATAAACAATTATCAGTCTTTGATAATATATTATCGATCAATCATTGATCTTAATGTATGAATTACATTCTATATTATACACGACACTACATATTATATATATATACCTCACGACATAAGCCAAAGGGTTTCATTGCTCTGCCTCACAGCACCTAACATCGAACCATCACTTCATACTCTTACCTGATCACGAATCAGCCCAACCCTAATAAACTGCACCGTTCCGCAACCAATTGGCCTAACCCCCACAAGGACTTGCATGTAATTGGCCTAACCCCTGCAAGGCCTTTCATGTAACGTCCCTTGCACCACCAGACCGCGGATCAAATAACCGTTGCTCATCAACTAGCGCGACTGTCAGTAGCGCTCCAGACATAACGCGGGTCGGATATTCGTGCAGATTCAGCTCTGAAATGCAGGATAGCATCCTGATAAATGACGTTTAAAAAATGTCATAGGACATTTTTTAAATGCCCTACGCGTTTTTTTAGGCTTAGGCCTAATGCCTTTTTTAATGCCCAATAAATTTTGTGAGCGTGTATCAATTGAAGATTGCGTACAGTCACCGCGTACCACGAAACCCTGCTTTATCCATTAATATTACACATTAGCCGATACATTTTATTTCACTTAATGCGCTAATAATTATATAATTGACTCGATAAATAAGTTAACTGTTTTTTTTAACGACAGGACGCTGGCACCAGATGTTGCAGTGTGACAAATACTTTGCATCATTGCAAGATTATATTATGTTGGTTAGTCAACATTATTATGGATCCTCGAAAAAGGTTCTCGCGTGCCACAGTTACGAAATGTGTGTTTAATAGAAAATTATAAATTCATCAAATCGTGCTGCTGTTCTTAAATGTTTACAGCCA